AGAGGATATTATAGCTGCATAAAAGGAATTTGTAAACCCACGATAAGGTTCTAATCCTCAAAATATACTTTCTTCTCATTTCTAGACTTAAACATCTCAAAGAAACCAGAAAATCAACTACTTGTGATTTGTTTTTAAACCAAGTAAGAAAACACTATCTGACATAGCACTGAAAAAAAAAAAACCCTATTCTTTCCATGGTAACATGAAAATAACAACAGAGAAAATACAGTGCCAGAAAGGCTTGGATTGGAATCCCAGTTTGGGTATTCATAAGCTATGTAATCATAACTCTCTGCATCTTAGTTTTCTCCTCTCTAAAATGGGGGAAAATAATTATTTGGCAGGAATTTGGGAGGTTAAAACAAGATATTGCTTTACACTGTATCTGGATAGGTCAGGTGGTCATAGTGGCCCTCATATAACCTCTCTGTCCTTAACTCAAGTTCCTCCCTTTTCAGTCCTTTCCAGAGTCCCTTCCAGTCTCTTCTAGAACACCATAGTGAATAAAAATATTCTTTCCTGTAGAAGTGTTGTGTATTTTTACATATATAATTATAGGACTAGGAATATGGCCCAGTGGTAGAGCACTTACCTAGTATGCACAAAACCCTGGGTTTGGTTCCCCAGCACTACAAAAATAAATGTAATTTCATTTTAATGTAAATTCATTTACATTTAAATGTAAATTCATTTTAAGGGTATTAAGAATAAAAATAATAGCTCATTTTAAGGAGAAAAATCTAAATATACAACCATCTGAAGACTTTCCTTTTAACAGTATGAAATTATAATAGAGATACTTGAGTTTGTCATTTTGCCCTTGAGTCTTTGTACAAGATGAGTAAAAAGTGATGCGACAAGGTACAATTGTGGGAAATGCACTTGAAAAGCCTACTGGAAAATAGGGAGAGGGAAAGAGAACGATGGGGAGAGAGAACAATGCTGAAGTACTTTGTGTCATCTGTGTCTGAAGATGGCACAAGGCAGCTCACTGAAAGCTGTTAAAAATAGGTGAGAAGGAAGGGAGAAAAGGGAGAGCAATAAAGGGGGTTAATTTGATGTACAATATATGCATGTGTGAAACACCATGGTGTAACCCATTTGTAAGTCAATATATACTTCAACAATGCACATATTAAAACAAGAAAAGCCTACAGACTGGCTTGTCCTCTCAATGTGCTGAGTGGCCAGATCCCAAGTGACTCACACTAGTGAAAGACTCGCGAGACTGATATGGCCACCAGCCTGCCATGTTGTTCTTTACATTGAGAATTGTGACTGCCATGCATCTATAAAGCACACATCAGTATGATCTGTCCATTCCTTTGTTTTGTAGAAAGATAAATCATAACATTGAAGGTTGGCTGCTTTCTGAGTGTGGTGTTAGAGTAAGGGAAGAGTTCAGCTGTATCCAATGTAGTGTCTTCAAGCCATTATAACCATGGCTTTTTGTGACCATTTAGTCAACAAATATTGAGAGCCTGCTATGAAGTCAGCTCTGCTATGAGCCATAGAAATAAAGAAATAAAAACAACCAAGTCCATTCTCTCATGGAGCTTATCATACCATAGGTGGTCTGCCTGATACAATGGAAAATATTAGAATCTTCCTCCATCCTGGAAGCAGAAATCTGCAATACTGCTTCCAGCTTACTTCTCTTTTGACTTTGCTTGGAAAAATCACTGACAGCATTTATCACCAATAACTTTTGTGCTTGAATGTTCTTCTATTTCTTTACATTTATTTTGATATTTCTGCTCTGATGAATTGGTCTCCCCTTTGACTCTGAACACACACACACACACACACACACACACACACACACACTGGAGAAAATATGTCTGATATGGGAAAAATAATATCTTTGATGTTGTCTTTGGCTTGCAGTCCTGCTCCATTAACTGCTAACAAGTTAACAACCTCTGCCACTTTATTTTTGCTTTAAAAAATAGGAGTAACATGTTAATGCATTTTTAACATTGCACTATAGTCTACACATTTTTAAGATATCACAGTAGTAGCATATTCAGTGACATTAAACCACTTCTTGTATAATATAAGAAACTTTACAATACTATGCTGTAATTCTTCCTAGAATTTACATTATAGTTGTCACATATTTTACTTGTATGTTATAAATAGCATACTACCTTGTTATTAGATTCATAGCTTTTAAAAAATATTTAAATACTAAGAAAAAACTTACATACATGCCCATGTAGTTACTATTCCCTGTGTTCTTTATTCTTTTATGTAGACACATATTTTCATGTTATTTCTTTCTGTCTGAAAGGTGTCTTTTACTGCCTCTTGTTCTTTTATATTTTGTATATCTTCTAAAAGTCTTTGCTGGGTGTGGTGGTGCACACCTGTAATCCCAGCATTATGGTGGATGCAAGAGGATTGTAAATTCAAGGCCAGCCTGAGCTTCATAGCACGACCCTGTCTCAAAAAATAAAAAATTTAAGTTGTCCTCCCTTTTGAAAGATACTTTTACTAGGCATAGAATTTTAAGTTGACTGATTGTTTTTCCTTTCAGTACTTTAAAGATTCTGGGGGGTTTTTTGGTTGTTTTTTAATACTTTAAAGATTTGTTTTACAGTTTTCTTGTTTCTATTGCTCTCAACAAGAAATTTACTGCCATTCTTCTTATGGTCCATAGTTAGGTAGCATGCCTTTTTTCTCTGGCAAGGTTTCCTCTTTATCACTAGTTCTGAGCAATTTGATTCCAATAGGCCTTAGTATAATTTCATTTGTTTCTTTGTTTGCTTGGAGTTTCTTGGATCTGTGAGTTTATAGTGTTTCTCAAATTTGGAAATCTTTTCAGTTATTGTTTCTTCAAATGGTTTTCCTGTCCTCTTGCTTCTCCAAGAGATTCCAATTGCACATACACTGGGATGCTTGAAGTTGCTCAGTAAACAGATTAGTGATTCTTTGTTCATTTAAAAATTTTAAATTTCTCTGTGTTTCATTTTGGATGGCTTATTTTATTATGTGGTCAAACTTCTGTTGTTTCTAATTTACCCAGTTGGTGGTATTTCTGTTATAGAAGCAGAAAATGGGCTAAGACAGGCTACAAGTCCTACATTATAGAGCTTATTACATTGTCTTGAAATTGCATGTTTGATCAAGTTTATGAGGGCAGAGACTGAGTCAGGCTTATTCAATGCCATTTCCTTAATATCAAGCGCAGTAGAAACACAAGTATTTCTAAAATGCTAATTCTGAATTGTTCATACTGCCTTCAAACTATTTGATGAGAAAATGAGTCTTTCAACAACTCCCAGGTTTGCAAGTCTCTACAACAAAGAATTTTTAAAAGTAGACCAGGCCTCCGCAGTTCATCTGCATGTGATCATATAGCACCATCATCAGGTGGATATCCTTATGGAACTAGATTCCCATAAAACCAACTAACTCAGAACATACTGCATGTACGGGGAGGCTTCTAATTGAGGGAGACCTTAAAATGACTTGGAGCATATCTGAATTTTGTGCAAGACCTTCCTTCCTTCCACATATATTTCAGTGCCTGCTGATGCCTGTCCCTAGATGAGAGCAGTCTTACTGCTGCATTGCAGGAAACACTGTTCACACATTATTCTGCATTATCCTGTGGTAGGCATCATTCTCCATTGATATGACATATATCCAGACAATCCTACCAGGGTCCACATCCCCACCTGTGACATAAAGATCAATGAAAGGCATATCCAGCCACATTTCTTTTAACTATTTAGTTCAGGTGCAACAAATCCCTGCTGTAAATTAAATTCAACAGACATCTTAAAAAGCCTACTCTCTGCCAGGCATGGTGTTGCCACTGGGAGTAGCCATTAGCTAACAATGACCATGGAAACATGCCCCTCAGGGTGGCTTGAGAAAGAGGCTCTCACAGTGTTCAGTTTCTGAGCACTGCGATTGCTGCCTCTCTGCAAATCTTTCTCTCCATCATTTGGCATCACAACGATAGTATAGCCCATCTTTTGCCCTGAGAACAAACCAAAGTGAGCTGGGGACAAACTGAGAGAAGTATGGGAAATAAACTAATTTTATTAATTGGTTCATTCACTCATTTCCTGTTTGATATTTACTTAGTACTTACTATGTGTCAGACACCATGCGGAATGTTGGTAATATAAAGACCAGCAGGTATTTTTTGTCCTTAAGGAATTCACAATCCAGTAGAGGAAGCAGACAAGATTACATGATTACATGATTACAGTCATGTGAGTGATAGATGCTAAAATAGAGGAATGCCTAAAAGCAATGTTAATGTCTTCAAAAGTCACCAATTCTTTGGCAGAAATGGTGTTTATCCTCCACAGATCTTAACAGCAGCTCTGTCCTTAGGCAATCATGCCAATTTTCTGAGCCTCAGTTTCCTTATTTATGAAGTAAAACTGATGATACTGGCCCTGTCTACATCACTGGGTTAGTCTAAGGATTTGTGGTCACGAGTCATTTTTAAATTGCAAAGATCTCTATAAAAATTACACTATCTTAACTTATATTCTTATATGTTTGTAGAATTTTGACATATAAGTCCTTCCATTTACTTAAAACGTTCAACGACCCTGTTCTGAAAGAGAGAAAGAGAGAGAGACTGAGAGAGAGGCTGAACCAGCAGGCAAGGGTCCCTCATTGTTGCCTGTGAATCTGCACAGTTCACAAACTAGATCTGGCTTGCCTTTTTTTAAAATCAGTCTACAAAGATACCTGCTGTTATCCCCACCTTACACATGAAGGAAGTGAGACGCCAAAGAATTTGCCTAACAACATAAACTCTAAAAGGCCATCCTTGACTATTTTCCAAGATAAGTAATAAATTCAAAATGACCAAGTCCAGCTTCTGGAGCCTTTCTCTAAGGAGCCCCGCCTCCCTACCTCGGGAGGGGCTGGACAAGGCTTAGACTCCGCCCCATGACGGATTCGGCCCCGCCTCCAGTGCCTCCACCTCTCGCGGGATCTCGTGGGATCTCGCGGGAAGACGGACAGGTCAAGTGCCATCATGGCGGCGGAAGAGGCGGATGTGGATATTGAAGGGGATGTGGTGTCGGCTGCGGCACCCCCAGGGTGAGGCTTAGAGACTGGGGGTCGCGGGGGCGGGGAGGGTCGCGGATTCGAGTCAAAACCCTGGAATGACCCCCTGTTCTGCAGGGAACAGGGGAATAAAATACTGTCCGCCGGGCCAGGGTCTCCTCTCGGCCCGGAAGTCGCTGCAGCGATTCCGCTCGCCGGCTTTCCTAAGCCCAGCTGGCTGGTACGTGGTGTTAAATACTCAAGTTTCGGGACAGCTTTTTACCAGGATGCAGGGAGGGCGCCAGTTTCGGCTGGTGTATTGCACTTGCTCCAACAATTCGATTCCTTCTTCCGAAGGTAGAGAACTCTACCTGAGAATCTGCACGACCATAACTAGAATAAGGGCGCCTTAATGGACGGGACCTGGCCTCAGGAACACCTACCTGTTCGGTCGCCTGAAAACCTTGGGACCTTGGGCAAGTCGTTATATTCCTTCTTCTACATAGGGACAGTTTTGACAAACTTTCTGAAAGGCACCTTGATTCGGAAGGGGCCAGATTTTAGAGTTTGACGGTTCTGGACTTCCCTTGTGTATTTGCTGTTCCTACCCCGCACTTTCAGTGTGACCTTGAGAACACACTTGTCGGAGCTTCATATCGCTCAAGTGTAGACTGGGATCGTGATACGTACATCATAAGGTTGTGAGTGTCAAGTGAAATAACTGTAGAAGATGGTTTAACATACGCATATGGTAAATGCCCTGTGATGATATGGTGAGGGATCACTGCAAAACGATTCCTGTAGAATGGGCCAATGTGGTTTTAAACAGAACCTTCTTTTGACTCCTTGTTTTCCGAGTAAGAAATGTTTCCTTTTAGCTAGTTATGTCACTTGTAACGTCAGCAATTTTGTTAGAACTGTATTAAGTTGAACCATTTGAAATTGGATCATTTTTAACCTAGAAGGTGGCAATTTCATATAATTCATCCCGTCACAAACTCTGAATTAAGAAGAGTACTACCCTACCCATTAGGCACTAAGACTGGAAGTTTAAAAGTGTCTGGTGAGCTCTAAAGACTATTTACATATGAGAGGTAGCAAAATTTATATAGTCATTCTCCTTCCAGTCCTTAGGCAGAGTTGTCCAAAGCTATGCCAACAGTAGGGAGCCCTTGATGACAGCAATCGTTTGCATTGATGTAGTTTTTAAATCTTGACCAAGTGCTTTTTTGAATGCTTGATTTAATTTTCACAAGTCAGTGAGATAAATAGAGGTACTAACCTGCAGTCCATAAAGAAATGGATGTTTGGAACACTAATGATCACCTAAGGGTATTGGCTGTATACTTGTTCTATAGGTTTATTGTATTTTTTTCTGATTGTGTTTTATTTTTCTCACTTTTCTCTTTTTGTTTCTTTCTATTTTCTTGAACCTTAGGTCTAGTGGCGGCACTTGCAATCTTGGTCTCATACAGGCAGAATTACAAAGGTTATTGTTTCCTGATGCTCAGAGACATTGCTTTATACAACCCTAAGGAGTATCATCATTAACATTGTGTTCTGGTGAATGGTGTCCGGGGTACAGTCATATGACATTTGGTATGACTAGTGCCCCCTGAGGTGTATAGTTACAGTGGATGTTAGGACTTGAGGAACTCTTGAGAATTTAGAACATACTGCTTTTAAGCACTTGGTAATTTCCAGGTACCAAAATTAAAAGATGGCATTTTGGTTTCCCTGTACTCCTACCATTCCTCTCATCTTCTTTTTCTTCTGATTGTTTTTAAGTCATTATATTATAGGACTTCTATTCACTGACCAACCTGATCATACCATTTCTCAAGACTTAATTTCTGTTATGTTGAACCATATGAAACTTTGACAGTGTTCTACCATTTATGACTTTACTAAAGTCAACTAATACTTGATGTGATTTCTAAACTCTCTCACTAACCCAACTCTTTCTTCTGAGTTTGAGATTGATTTGCCTAACTCTCTGAATCTGTCAAGCACTTGGGTGTCTCACAAGCACTTCGGTCTCACCTTATAAATTTCCCCCACCAAACCTGCCTCTCTGGTGTTCACTAGTTCAGTGAATGGCACCAACATTTGCTCAGTTATCCAAAGCACAGACATGATCATCCCTTTTCCTTACCTCCTTTCTTCCACTTTGTCCATCATATCAGTTATTAAGGGCCTGTTCCTTTTGTCTAATTATCCTCTCAAATGTATTTACTCTTAGGTCACATTCATGGTTCTTTAGGTATAAGTTACTGCCACCTTTTTCTAGGATTTTTGTGATTATTTCCTTTTTACTACTGCTCATCTGCTTGACTCCTTCATTCTTTCCTGAAATTAGAGAACCCTTTCTTACATCCAGATCTGACCATATTATTCCCTTCAGTCTCCAGTTGTTTTCTCAAACTACTGGAAACCTGTGTGATCCTTGCTCTACCTACCTTGTTCATTTAGTCATTCAAAAATTATTGATAGAGCACCTACCATCTATATGCCAAGCCCTGGGAATATAACAGTTACCAAGAAACCAAGTCCCTGCTTTCACAGAATTAATACTCTTGCTGGATGAGACAAACAGTAAACCTTACATGTGTGTCAGATGGAGGCAAATGGAGAAAAATAAAGGAAGATGACTGGCTTTTCAGCTTTATCCCTTCACTTACCAAGGAAAACTCTTAAGGTCTGAAACTATGGGACCCCATAGCTGAATATGGATAGAATAGTTCACTAGAAGGACTGGGCTTTAACAAGGGACAAGCAGCAGCATTGGCAATGAACTGGATGTAGATCGTGAAGGAAAAAGGGCAGGCTCAGACTTCTGACTTTAGTACCTAGGGATATCAAGGTGCTATTGGCTAAGATAGAGAACAATGGAAGAGTAGCACATTTGGGAGGAAAGGTGATTTTAGACTGAAACATGTTAACTTGTGGTACCTGGGGAGGCGATTCAGGTAGGTGCCAGGATGCATACACCAGAGTTTGGAGGTGTTAATCCTTACTAAGGAATGCTATATGAAAGGATTTCTGCAATGAACTTGAAATAATAGTAGTCCTACTTCCTGCACTCTTGGAAGACCTAGTAATTTGTGCAAAGGTTTCCTTCTGTTGATAAAAGCCTCAGAATCCTTCTAAATCAGAGTTACCATTGAGTTTAAACATGTTTGCTATCAACAAGTGAAAAAAAATACTGCTTTCAGTTCATTGCAGAAAATAATCCATTAGCACTTCAGTCTAACTACCATGTGGTTACTAACTAATGATTCGGCCTATTGATAATTTCTTGCTATCTTGTATCTCCAAAGTTCTTATTACTGGATTAGGTCTAAACAAAAATAATTTAACTGGGAAACTTTGTAACTTCACACATACAGTATTTTCTTCATTGTGACAGTGATGCTGTGGATGGTAGTTTTTATGTTTTAGATATAGCTAAAAGATTTATTGCTAAGTAGAATTATTATGTATTGCATATGGGTACTGGTCAGCTAAATTTAAAGTGTTGTTTCAAGTCCACAGAGCATGTTATGTTTGATGTGTTGGGGCATTTTTTCCTTCACAGGCCAAAGAGGTAGAGTAAGCATTTTTGCAGTGTTAAATCTGTTAAGAGGAGAAGGGAACTATTCACTTAACACAAACAACTGGTCAGCCCTTTGCTATGTGAGTTATAGCCATTAACTGATACAACTTTTATTCATTTTCTTAATATTACAGAAATAATGAAAATGCAGCATCAGTTTTACAACAAGATCACTATCTTGATTCATCGTGGAGGAATGAGAATGGTCTTATTGTAAGTTTTATGAAATTATCAGGTGACTCAATTTGCTCATTGCCCAGAGTACTTGTTTTATTTTTAAACTGAGTTCTAGTTCTCAAAAGTCACAAGGGTAATTATAAAGAAACATTTTTCTTACTTTATAAATAGAAGAAACCCCCCTTTAAAAAAAAGTTTTTGTTTTTAACTGAGAGAACAAAATTGGGGCCTGCTGAATTTAGGTACAAATCTACTCTGCCAGTTCTTTAAATTTGTGAACCTTGGTTTCTTCAAGTAAAAAATGGAGATTATCACAGGGCTCACTTTTTTTTTTTTTTTGTTGAATACTCACTTTGTGGCAGACACTGGTCCAGGTTTGGTGAGTATAATTGTAATACAGACAAACATGACTGTGCTCCTGAGGAGCTTATATTCTCAAGGGGAGTTAGCTGATAAACAAGTAGGAAAACATTTGTAGATTATAAAGGAAATAAAGCAAACTGCTGACTGAGAATACTGGAGAAGGGCAGAGAGATAGTTGAGATAATGTTGTCACTGAAGGAAAATCTGAGGAGTTGAAAAATAACAGGAAGAATGGTTAGGTACTTGAAGAGACAGAATGAATAGCAAATGCCAAAGCTCTGTTTGAAGGAACTCTGTTCTGTGTCTAGAATATAGTAGGCAAGTGTATAATAACAAGGTTGGAAAGGCAGGTAAGAGCTCTGTCATACAAGCCTTATGGGATGGATTATGTAAAGGTTTAAATTTTATTGTAAGTGAACTGAGTTATCACTGAAAAATTTCATGTAGATTTTAATACAGGCATGTGTTTCATTTTTACAAAGTTTATTTAGCTTACTATAGTAAAAATTAGATTGGGAAGCAGCAGTGGAATCAAAGGGAATATTTCCAATTAGGAAACATTTGCAATAATTTCAGTAAGATTTAATATGGTGGCTTGACCTGGGTAGTAGCACAAGAAAAACAATGGACAGATTTGGGTTATAACAGTCTAGAGCGTGGAGAAGAAATAATGAGCTGAAAATATGTAACTTTGGTAGTTTAAAATGAGTATGATCATCTGCAGAGAGACTGGCTGAAAGGAGATAGAATTGTGAGTGACTTATGCCTAGTCATTCTTCGTACATGATAGCTGTTACTGCCTCATCACGGGCAGGATCATGAGCCTTGGAATCCGAGGGACTTGAGTATAGGTCTCTTCTTTTCTATGTGCGGTGAATCCATCTCTGAAATATTAATGCTTTCTCTTAGTGTTATTGTGAGAATCAAAGGTATATCTGTGTTCATTAAATAGTAGATGCTGTAATTTAATGTAATTATCATGTATTTTTATGTAACAAAACGAGAATTTTTAAAGTAATAAAACATATATTTATATTTACATGTATATATACATATACATACATACATTCTTTTTTTTTTTTTTAAATAGCCTTGGACTCTCGATACTACCATCAGTGAAGAAAACAGAGCTGTCATTGAGAAAATGTTGTTGGAAGAAGAGTATCCTTTTATGATTCTGAAGAAAGTAAAGGTTTCAGGGATAAGAATCTACTAATGCAAAAATTGTGGAAGAGGCCACTATAATTACTAGATGGGTATTATTTAGCCACAGACTGATATTATATAATGTGTTAACCTCTCTATGTAAAAAATAGAATTTAGTCTTCAGGTTCTATTTAACTTCTAAGTGTGAGATCTGGTTTAACATTCTTGAGTTTTTGCTGTTAGCCAATTCTTTATTGTATGTGAATATTGAGTAGAAATTATAGAATATTTAAGTCAGAACCTTAAGTCCAAACTTCCATTTTCAAAGTTATATAAGGTAAAACCTAAAGAGATTCATTTGTCCAAGGACATAGAATTAAAATATATAAATTCTTACGTTTTACTTTATAGAGTTTACAGGTGTTATGTGGGAGGAATCTTAATTAAAAAACACAAAGCAAATACTGCAGAGTGAATATTTTACCTCCAAATTTGTGGATCTCTATCCCTGGTTCAACCAGTGGCTTCTTGTCTTGATTTCTTTCATCTGTGCTTGATGTAGTTAATTTAACTTCTTTGAATCTCGGTTTTCTTATATGTAAAATGAAAGGATTGAACAGAACCATTTCTGATTTTATGGTTTGTTTTTAACTCTCCCGTCTATATTTCATGGATTTCTACCTACTATTTAAACCAGAATTTCTGTTCTTTCTATTCTTATTTATTGCTGTTATTTTTAGAATGTCTCTGTACCTTTAATTGTTATAGGTTAACTCCTTTTAGGCTTATCTTTAACTCTCCCCAAACATTGCAGGTATAACCTAGCTTATTGCTTTTCAATGAGAGGCGTGTATAATTTAGATTTTCCTGGTGCCTCACTTAAAACCAAAACAAATAAAATTAGTTTTAATAATATATCTCACTCAAACTATTATATATAGTCTATATGAAAACATTATTAGTGGGATGTTTTACATCTTTGTTTTTTACATCTTTTTTACAGTCTTTGTGTCATACTAACTCTTTGAAATCCAGTGTGTATTTTATCCTTAAAGTAAATCTCGGTTCATGCTAGCCATGTTTCAAGTGCTCAAAAGTCATACATGTGACTAGTGGCCAGTGTATTAAACAGCAATTCTAGATTAAAGAACACTTAGGTAGTCACTTGTTCCCCTCCAGATATGGAAACAAGTAATGAGAATAAGGATTATATATAAGCATTTAGAAGACCAGGACAGTGTTTTATTTAGTTAGTTATTTGTATTTTTGTCTTTAGGACTTAGTGTGTATATATTACAGTCAATAAATATTTGCTCATTGAAGAAAGTCTCAGACTAACTACTGCAGTAGGCTAGTTTCACGAACTTTGAGAAAGGGAACTTTGTAAAGGAACTTCTTAGATTTGATCTAAGTGTTTGCTGTTTCTTTTAGGGTAAAGAAAAGTCCTGAACTTCTCTATTAACTATAGAAGTATGGAAGCAGGTATTCCTATATTACCTTAGACAACCAATCAAATTCACCTATTATACTCATACTTTAGGAAAGAAAGATTTAAACATTGAGGATATTCTTCTCCTAACACTTCTAATAGGGAAAATAAGAGAAACTAGCATTTCTTGTAGCACATATTTTGTGTAGGCATTGCATTATGTGATTTTATATGTAATTAATCCATATAACAACCCCACAAGGTATAAATATTTCTATCCTAAGTTTAACAGACCCAGAAAAAGCTTTGGGAGGAATTGGTATTTACTTGAGTCCAAGTATAACTTTCATGAATCTATGGCTATTTTACACATCATATAAAAATTGTATGACTAATACAGTTTTAAGAGTTTCTTTAATAATCATACAGATATTATTTATCTAACAAATCACTTCCAGGAAAATTCTGGCTTGATCAAAAGGAAGGTGATAAAAAATACATGAACAGGTAAAGTTGATTTATAGAACTATTAAAAGTTTGAATTGTGTTTTTAGAAACTTCTTTACAAACTTCCTTATTTTCTTTTTTCATGTGGTGCAGTCTGCAGAAAACAGCAAAAATCATGTATGTACTTGTTTTATATTTTTAAAGCCTTTTTGATTGGTTGGAAGTTATGGGAGAATTTTTGAAAATGGTAGTTAGCTGGAGGAAAAGGCCTCTCAATTCAAAAACAAAGTAAATACAATAAAAGCAGTGGAATAAAACAGATGTTGGAAAGCATAATTTTATGTTGTTATTTGCCAGAATTTCTTAATCCTATATAAGCAAGTCATCATAGAAAAAATGATTTTCTAGAGTTTATGGGGAAATTTTAAGAAGCTGCTATCTATCTAAACCATGATAGATTGTATACACATATGGACAGGTCACAATGAAACCCCCTGTATAACTATTATGTACTCATGAAAACGTTAAAAAAAAAAAAAAGGCTACTATCTAATATATTACTAATTGACTTGATTTCTGTTGCTCTACCAACTTTTAATTATTTTCAACAAAACTTAATTTAGATTTGTGGCTTTCAAAAATTATTTACAAGAAATTAACTTTTATATGTAAAGGTTTAGTAAATATCTTTCCCTTATAATTAGATAAAGTTTAACATTGTTTACCACTTACAAACTTGCAAGTTTGTGGCCCATTAAAGGATGAACTAGAACACTGAGGCCTTTGTTTTTTTTTTTTTTATTTCTCTGAATGAACAAGAACAAAAGTCAAGTTATTGGGAAGATTAGTGGCTTAAGTTAGTGAGCTTCATCTGTATTTTAATTGTCAGTTTCTTAAGACACTGAATTTTAAAAGCAATAAATGTAACACCATAGTTTTGTGACTACTTTTCTGGCTCAATATTTACATGCATTTACACAGAAGAACCAGAGAGATATTTCTGGAACCTTTTTAAACTCTTATATGCCCTTTAGTTTTGGGAAATGTGTTATATATTCATTTTAAGGAAGCCAGTTTGTTACCCTTTTGATGTCTTTCTGTTATCCTCACTCGGACCCAAGATTATGCTTTTTGGGGTACTATCATCTTGAGTAGAAATAAGTGACGGTAAATCTCACTGCAGGTAGAGTCTGCAGCCTTCTTTTTTTGTTCAATTTTTAAAAATTCTTAGACTGAAAGTACTGAATTGAGCCCATGGCTATCTATAACTGTTAGCTGCATAAATATGGAATGTTCCATTTCAGAATTTTTTTTTTTTTTTTTTTTGCAATTCCTCTTTTTCCCCTCAGGGTACACTCTCCTACAAAACCAGCCAGTTTCTCATTAAAGTGGACGATAGAAGAAAAAGAGCTGTTTGAACAAGGGCTGGTAAATAGAGCAATTTTTTAATTTATAGTAAAATGATTCTAGAAGCAACTATTGACATAGTTATAGGTTAAATTAATTTGTAGAGACCAAGTTTTTAATTACTGTTATAATTAAACTTTAGTTTTTCTGTAATACTTATAGTGTAGTAGAAGAGAATTCCTTTTAACCTATATCTAAGGTACTAAAATACTAAAATAGATTTGGATCAATATTTTGATAGTTATCACACTTTTTTGGTATTGATAAAATCTGAGATGTTGAGCTGTATCTGCATATGTGATGCCAGCCATTGGATTTAATTGTCTGATGTCTTTTCTCAAAACCAAAAAAAAGAAAAACCAAACTTGTATATTTGAAACTGTGTAGTAAGCTGAGTAGTTTTTTTTTTATTCAACTATTTGGTATTGTGTACAGTCCATGTATTTCAGTACATATATTTGAAGATTGGAAACATTTCTTTTGCATGAATGTTTCATTTAGATCTATTTAAGTATACACAAGTTATGAATAAAAAATATGTACGCTGGTTTCTAATTCTGAAAATACTCCTTATTGTGAAGAAATCTAACAAAATGTTCAGGGATTTTTTAAAAATTATCAAGAGTATATTATATATTTTCTTTTAAGGTGCTTGTTACTTGGTATTTTGCTAATTTTGAAATTATGTATATTTTTAATATAGAGTGTATAATATGTATGTGAGATTTGTGAATGCAAATTGAAATATCAACATCTCTGATGAAAATAAAATGTATTTTTTTATTTAACACCATATATGTATATATTCTAGTGTCATATAAATATAGACACTATATTTTTTAATCTTTTTAATCTTTTGAAGTTTTTCATTGTACTGGTGATGTCTTTTATGTTAACATTTCAGTTTGTTGTGTGGTGATTTAACCATTCATTTATTTAAGATTGCTGACAGCTTTGGCGTTTTGCTCCTTATCAAAGACCAAAAAATATATATACATACAGACAGACAGATATGCATATATATGGAAATGGTTTGTGAACTTAAGGTTCATTTTTTTGGTTATTGTTCACATTGGTGGTAGTTATGGGGACTGCATTTGCATGTTCGAAATTCATACTGCTACCTAAAAATTATAGGGTGTTAAGCCCCGCTTCACTGCTGAGGTAATCATTTTCATCTCTTTGTGTATCCTTCTAGACGTTCTTGGTCCATATATAAGCAAAGGTGTATTTATTTATATATGGAAAAAACATTGAATTATTGGTTGGATTCCCTGTCTTTTTAGCTCATTGATAAAGCTTGCTTACTGACTGAATTCTCTCAGGCTTGGAAGAAGGGAATTTGTGATACTGAATGAAGAAGGAAGAGTCTTCCTTTTCTTTGACATAGGACTATGTTACTCTGCTTTAAAATTGGTGAATGTTTTCTTTTCTTTGCTTCTCTTATGTGGTGTCACCTCTTGTTTTCTTAGTGTCCAAGCTCCTACTATCCCAAATAATCACACCTTATCACTCTGCTGTCTTCAAATGTTCCATGCTCCCAAGTTATTTGCTTCTACCTCATGATAATTAGTTCTTCAATAAATTAAATCTTAACTAGGTGTTAATCTTAAATAATTATATTGTAATCTCAGAAGTACTTTGAGTTTTAAGAAATTGTTCATGTGTCAGGTTTTCTAATGGTTATTAGAGATAAATATAAATTAAGGGTTGTCATTTGGGTCAGTTCTTTGAAGACGATTTGCTGCCATAAGGCATTGCTACCAGTTTTGTAGATCTGGCCCTGGAATCAGCTTTCCAGAGTTGTTGCTAGTTTTTTGTTTGTCATGGTTTTAAGAATTCTAAAAAAAATTAAAAACTGTTGAGCTTTGAAAAATAGAGAATACCATGTTGGTGATAATGTAAAGAAGATTTATATATGTTAAATCAGAATTAAACTTGATACCTAAAACTCTTGCTTCATCTCTAAAATTGTGTGGGTTCCTTTCTGTAGTTCAGAACCAAACAGGAGGCCCTCATGTTCTCAGTTTTTTTCTCACCATAACTTCAGTATTAGAGGTTGCACAGTCTTTGACACTAAGAGGGAGATATTGGTTGCAGGTCTACTTCATTTGTAATTCAATCATAAAAGTCCTTTTACTGAGATATCAGTGTAATGTATCTGCTGTGGAACACTTAATGGGAAATGTTAAGATGCGGAATCTGAGTAAAAAATTGCAATTAGTGCAGAACATGTTCAGCTGATCCTCTAAGTGGAAAATGTTGTAACCTACCTTCCTTTTGGGCACTTAGTTATTTTAAAAAGATATCATAGATTTAGAACATCATAATGTACAGTTTGAATTCAGTTAGGTAATAGAAGTGATGTATCTTCATTTAGATAGTTGTAAAAAATGTGGATCATTTTGATCCATTTTCAGAATTCCAAATTCAAAGGAAAGATTGAGCTTTGATTATCAAGAGCATAGTCAATAGGTAGGGCTTTGGTTTTCGCTTTAGAAAATAGATAGGAGTTTTTGTTACTTTTTTAATGTGACTTTTACTTGAAATAATAATGAGTAAACTAATCCAAAGTAATTTTTTTCCATTTTGATATCACAGTCTAAATTTGGACGAAGGTGGACCAAAATTGCAAAGCTAATTGGAAGTCGCACTGTTTTACAAGTGAAGAATTATGCCAGACAGTACTTTAAAAACAAGGTAAGCAGAATATAAATATCCTACTTAGTAATTTTTAGGACAAACATAATTATAAAGCAGAAATATTTAATGTGGACATTAAAGTTTTACTTAAAAGTTTTTATGTGAAAGTATTTCATACTCATAAAATACTGTATAAATGTTTTGTTAAAACATCTGAGAGCATATCTTCAATGTTGGTATTAAGTAGAAATTATGTTACTGCACTTCATGTGGCTGAATAGAAGAACAAAATATTGTTTAACAACCTCTTACAAAGCAAATAGTTCTCCTAAGAGAAAAATCTTTGAGTTCTTATCTTACTGTTTGCTTTAGAAAATATCCTTCCTTTTTAAAGTGTTTTCATTATAGAAACTTTAAAAAAAATTTAAAGCTTAGGGGATATTAACACTAACAATTACGAAATCTATTTAATAGCAAAGGAGTTTTTATACTTGTTTTGAAGAATTGTCTGAAAGTTTTAATTGTATTGTTCAGAAAGATGTAGTTACAGTTTATTTCCTTAATCTTTTAAGTGATTTGTGCTGTATTCAGCTGTGTAGTTTTGATACTTGGAATTTTTTAATTCCAAGTTTTCTTTGAGCTCTAGGAACATGATTATAAAATTTGAAAGTGTCTTAAGTGAAATTTGATGTTTTAATGTAAATGTGTTCTTCCATGCTTAGAAGATTTCTCTAGCTTAGTGTTAGCTAGGGATAGGTGGTAAGTAATGCACTGTATTCATTATACAGCAATCATCTGCTCTCTCTTCCAACTAACAAAAGCAATTTCAAGATGGAGGTATTAGGGAATAAAATAAAAGTTTGACTTATTTTTACCACTGTGCTTCTCAGGTTGGAACATACAGTGTATGTGGAGTATCAGTTGTACTCAAAGACTTGGGGTGGAAGGATACACTTCAATATTATAACTGACAATAGTATTTTATGAAATCTATGTAAAGTGTATGAATTTTTAAGATTAAAAACAAGAAACTGCAAATAAATAGGAAGGTTATTAAAGACTGTTTAGACTGTATATGCAGATCTCCTTTTCCCTTTTTGTCCTCTGCATAGTAAGCCATTCAACCTGAAATACATGATCCTGAGAATTTACTGTGATAAAGAATCTATAGATAATCTCTTACCAAGAGATATCCTCGGATATGTAAGTCATTTATAAGGTTTATCAAAAATTTTGTTTATAAAGATTTTTATTTCAAGTCATTTTTGGGGCTGGGGATGTAGCTCAGTGGTAAAGAGTTCCTGCCTAGCATGAATGAAACCCTGGATTCAATCTTCCCACTCTTCCACAAAAAAAAAGTCGTATTTACTCATTTCCTTTCATTTTTTTTCTTATTACATTACCAAATATTTGTGTTATTAAATGAACTTGCAACAAACAGTGTTTCTGTACTTAAAGATGCTTTTAATTTACTGAGTGAAAAATATGGGAGATAGACTCCATTAAATTAAAAGATTATTTTAGTATTAAACAGCTGAGGTTATCAGACATTCTACAAAATAAGCCTTTAAAAATACTTACTATCTTATAGAATACTTTAGTATGAAAGTTGTAGTATGGTGTTAATGTTAGTATGGTGGAGCTGAGTGAGAATCCTATTTTAAATATAATATTGAGAAATAAATAAGTCATACCTCTATATATGTCATGATTATCTTACTAATAAAAGTAGCTAAATATGAATGAGTCATATTTATGGAAATTTAAAATGCTGATCTTTTACATTTAAAGAGCAGTTATAGCCCATAAAAGAAAAGTAAAATGGCTGGGTATAGTGCCTCCAGCCTGTAATCCTACCTATTTGTGAGGCAAGTGGTACGTTGGGTAAAGTTCATGAGACCTCCATCTCAACAAATAGCTGGGTACACTGGTGTGTACCTCTCACTCCAGCTATGTGGAAGGCTACGATCTGGAGGATCACTGTACCAGGACATCCTGGGCAAAAGTGTTAGCCTTCTATTTCAACAGAAAAGGTTGGGTGTGGTTGTGCACATGCATTATCCCAGTGACGGCGGGAAGTGCAAAATTAGTTGGATTTCAGTCCAGGCCGGCCTCGGCTAAAAGTAAGATCTTATCTCAAAAAATAACCCAAGCAAAAAGAGCTAGAGACATGGCTTAAGCATAGAGTACCTGCCTAGCAAGTGTGAATCCCTCAGTTCAACCATCAGTATCTCCAAAAAAAGTATAATAAAGGTATGATGTAAATTAACAAGTACACAATTTAATAATATCAAACTAATATAAAATAATATTATTCTGATTTTTAATAAGGTAAAATTGGGTCTGGAGAAAGAAACACCAACTCAGAGGAGCAGCATTGATCTTCAGGTTAAAAATGATGATAAAGGGACAAAGACATGGACAACATCGTGTTTAAGGGGACGTGCTGATCCCAATTTAAATGCTGTGAAAATTGAGAAGTTATCTGATGATGAAGAAGTAGACATCACAGACGAGATGGATGAGTTTATTTCTCAAACACCACAACAGAATTCTAGCAGTGGTCTCTCATTAGACATTCCTAGTAGTAAAATACATGAAACCAGTCAGGGAGAAGTCATACACCCAGAAAGTCTCTTTTCTAAGTCTTCCATGGACTGTCTTCAGAACATAAAGCAAGATGAAATGGAAATACTTGCAGGCTCAGAAATTACATTATGGAATGAAAAGCAGAACAGCAGTGAGAAAAGCTCAGTTGACTTAAATGATCAGAAATGTAGTAAACTGATTAAAAACTGTGACGGACAAGGTGGAGATGGAGTGCTAGACGAAAGGCAGTATTCTCCAGAGCCTTGTGAGGTTCAGAAAGATTGGCGTCACAGCGAAAGGTTTTTTGCTACTTCTTGCCAAATGGTGGAGGAAAGCCATGAGGAGGAAGAACTTAAGCCACCAGAACAAGAAGTAGAAATAGATAGAAATAGCATTCAAGAAGAAGAAAAACAAGCAATTCCCGAGTTTTTTGAGGGGCGACAAGCTAAAACACCAGAGCGCTATTTGAAAATTCGAAATTACATTTTGGATCAGTGGTAAGAATTACATTTTAGATGATGATTTAAAAACCTAATATACTCAAGTATTTTAATGAGGCCTATGCAGAATTTAGAATTTTGCTAATGATCCAGAGAGCTTTCATATACATTACCATTTTGGTAGTCAATACTTAAAAGTTCTCAGTAAGTTTTTTTTAAAAATTTGGTAAACATTGTCATCTATTTCTATCATAACCCATCTGTCTGTTCTTCAGTGTTTGAGCTTAGAAAAAAAAAAAAGGCTGATGATTGCTTTAAGAAGGAATTTCTTGGGGCAGTGTTGGGAAGCTATAAGTAGAGAACTCTACTGGGAAAAGGGAACAGTTTCTTTCCAGGTTTATCATGTACCTGAAGTGTGTCATTAAGGGTGACTAGGTTGCCTGAAATGTTTTCAACTTTGAGCTTATTGTATAATGTGCTAGTAATTTCATCCAGCTTTATCAAGATACAAGAATTTTCTGATAATTTGAAGTGTACTCTAAATTGTTGGTACATTTTATTTGAGTAGCATAATGTGGGATAGGTTGGAAATCAAGATACTTCCCACCTTATTAGCTTATATACTCTAAAAGTAATTTGAATTTTTCTTAGTAGTGTATTAAGTCATCATAAAAACATTCATAATTACTATTTCTATTTTATCTTGATATTACATAGGAATTTGCATTTACAGAAAGCTTTCCATCTCATTTATTCTTTACAATAACCCTGTGAAATAGGCAGATGGTATAATCTATTTAATAGAGATCAGAACCTTCTTAGATCAGGAGAGGTACAGGGATCTGCTTTTGATTATACAACCAGCCAATGACCCATGCAAGAAAACATCAGTCCAAGTCTTAACTGTCTAAATCACTCTTCTGTTATTTTATTGTTTTATATTTCCTAATTGACAATGTTTTTAAAAAGCTAATTACATTAGAATTCTAATGGTATCTACTTTTGTTTTGGAAATAGGAGGATAATCAGCCAAAATTGAAGGACTTCAAAACAATAACAATTTCACAAATGTACATACAATCAATTTGTACTGAGTGTTAATTTAATCAATCTTCTACTTGTTACTTTGAATTTTGTATTCTAAATGCAGCAAAATAATTTATATAGCTACTGTAACTTTAAGTCATCTACCTTAGTTCATGGAACCATTTCAATATTGATATTTAAACATGATGATTTAGTAGAACAGTGTAAAAGCCAAAAGTAATGTTTTCCACAGAGCTCAAATCTATTCTTTTCAGAAATAGAAGAGGGAATGGTTAAGGACTGGAGGTGGTGCTAAAAAAGAAAAGAAAAGAAAAAAAGTTAAAGTTTTAAAAAATAAAAAGGGATCTGACAGATTTGTTTATAGCTTAAAGATCCTTTCTATAAAAGCAGATGCAGTTGACTCCCTGTTTAGTGGAATCTTTTTATTAAAATTGTAACCAGTACCATTATTGAATTCGTATCAAATGTCATGCATTATATTTAAATCCTTTCCTGTCCTCTTGACAACCTTATCTTCATTGTACAGATGAAGAAAATGAAGTTCGCGTAGGATAAGAACTTTACTTAGCTATCCCTAGGTGAAGGTGATTTCGAGATAGGGTCTTAGCCCAGGCTGTCTTGAACTCATGATCTTCCTGTCTCAGTTTCCCAAGTGCTAGGATTACTGGCATGCACCACTGCACCAGGCAAGGCTACATACAGTCTTGATTTAGTACCTTCACACTTCCATCTCAAAATCTTGACCGCTCTGCCTTGGATCTTCTTTTCCTTCAGGTCTTGGAGAGTTGTGCCTCCTTGTCTCCTTCAGGTTTGCTCAAGGGAAACTAGAGGCTTCTGACCACCCTATCTAAAATATGTCCTCTTCCTGTTGTTCTGTGCTCTTATACCGTGTTTTATTTTCTTAGTAGAACTTTACCACTGAAAATGTTACATTTTTGTGTATTGTCTCCTTACCTCCCTCAGTCCCTTGAGAATGCTGGCAACACAGAACAGATTTTTGACTGTTTTGTTCATTGTTAAATTTCTTCTGCTTAGGATAATGCTTAGAATATAGAAGGAACTCTGTTAGGTAAAAAAGAATAATGAATGTATGGATCATCAGTCTTTGATGAACAGAAGTTTTTAAAGTACTTAGCATTTGCTCACCAATGTAGTAAATTACTGAGTTCTTTTTAACCTTTTGATTTGGATAATCTTTAGATCAATCCAGTTTTCATACTCTCATAATTTTTTAGTAGACATACTCTTTCTTGCTTTCATTTGTACAGCTTGTTTCCTTTTCTTTCAAGACACACTGAAATCTCAGCTTTTCCTTGGAAGTTCTGATACTCTGAAATCACAAATTACTTTTTACCTAACCTGAAGGTAATTTAAAATTTTGTTTAGGGAGGCCTCCCCTAAATACTCTAAAATAAGTCTGTGCCTGTTTAACACACTTATCCCCTTATCCTCCTTTTTTTTCCTTTTCAGCATTATTGCTGTCTGACAATGTAGTATATATTATTCATTGGTTTATTGATGGTCTTTCCCCCTGGAATGGAAGATCCCTGAGATCAGGAACTTTATGTTGTCCAGCTCATGTCCCTAGTTCCTGGAAAAATGTCTGATGCATAGGACACAAAATGCCTATTCGTAGAATAAAATAATTGAATAAATAATAGCTGTTACATATATCTGAATGTTTAGTTATTATATGTGCTCTTGAATCCTAAGTCTGTCACTTCCTTAAGTAGGAGTTTAATCACCGATCCCACTGGTTTCCTTACAAAAATAGAAATAATAAAATCTTTCTTATAGAGTTGTGAAGATAGATATGTAAGCATTCAGTAACTGGTTTCTACTATTACTAAGTTCTCTATGACTATTAAATTTTAATTTTGCTATTTAGCATGACCCATTAAGTATATTTAATATGTGTTCTTAAACGAACATCTTTCTTTCATGCATAATCTTGGGAAGTTTCTTGATTCCTTCAGAATCCTCTGTAAAACTTCTGTTTTTCACAAAGAATAAGCTGTTATTATTGGCATCGTGATTAAAATTGAAATCTGTGTGGCAAAGGTAGAGTAGATGAACCTAAGTAATATATTAAAAATTGGAGGAGTTTAGGGAGTGAGGATGTCGTAGCTCAGGTAGAGAGCATTTGCCTAGGCTGTGTGGAGCTTTGGGCTCATTTCCTAGCACTACAGGGGAAAAAAAATTGGCAATATCCACTACTAAATCTTTTCAATATATTATCAAAGATTTAGACTTTTTATTCAAAGATTTAGACTTGAATTCATAACGTAAATAAGCTGCTAACTTGGGTAACTTGAACCTATAGAATTTAACATTGAGAAAAACTAATAATCAAATAAGAATAATACATGTAAAAAAATACATGTACTTGTATGTGATCACATTATTTCAGGAAAAAGTATGTTTGGGAATTATGTATTATATATACTACACATTTACACATTGAGAGAGGAGGTAAAATTTTAAGGTATCTTGTATATTAAGTTTTCCCAAAAAATATTTTTTCATGCTTTTATTCATCCAAAATAATTGTATCTCTATCCCCTAATTAGGAAGATATGCAAACCGAAATACTTAAATAAGACCTCAGTACGTCCTGGCCTGAAGAATTGTGGGGATGTTAATTGTATTGGACGGATTCATACATACCTCGAGTTGATAGGAGCATCAATTTTGGATGTGGTAAAAATGAAAACCCAACAACATCTTTTATACTCACTGTTTTTGTATTCTTATAGTTAATTTCTATGATGATTATAATTCAGTAGATTTAAGTATGTAGAATTCAGAGAGAAACGATAACATTATGGAAAAAATGTGTTAATAAGATTTTGATATAAACCAGATTTCTGCCGATTGAACTGTGTTGCCCTTTGATCTATGATGAAAATTGAAGGTGTAATTTTAAAGAAAAAATATTTGATCTAAGTAATAGGAATAATTTGAGAAATATAGTTCTTTGTTAAGTAAAAGTAAAATAATTTTATGGAAATAGTAATAGCCCTTTTAATATACAAATACAGGTTGAGGCCAGTATGACACTTTAAATGTTTAATATTGGGAGCATTTTTATGCAAATATTCTAAAATTCAAAAAAACCCTGAAATTTGAAATGCGTTTGGTCCCAGGCATTTTGGATAAGGCTTACTGAACCTGTACTGTGTTCTTGCTAGAAATACTATCTAGAATGATTAAATAATGGAAATAATTTATGCGCCTCTATACTTATACGTAATAAAAGCACCAAAATATTTTAATGGAAGAAAGGATCTGTCACCCTAGCTTTTTTTTTTAATTTGAAGCTGATGAATATGCACATTTCAAAATGTATTCTAAGCTTTTATTGAATTAAAGCCACAAAAACTTTTTGTAGAAAGCTAATAGCCATAGTTGCATATAATGGTATAGAACGTACAGTCTGCTTCTTGATCTGTTCTTCACATCGATGGCTCAGTTTGCCCAAAACCCTGTATTTTGAGACTAGCCTTTCAGGAAAACCAAGACATTTTAGTTTCCTCAGTCACTAAGAGAAAAATGAAATTATGTTTTCTGTATTTGACTGACATAGTTAGCAAAAATTAAGCCAATTACTCATTTCTTAAGAATTACTCATTTTTCCATTTTATTGACATTTCCTTAGAATGACAGAATTATTTTATTGAGAAGTACTAAGTAGCACGTCAAATACATGATTGTGGAATAAGAATCATAGGAGCTCAGCTATAGTAAATGTAGTTGTGTTTTCCTATTCAAAAAATGAGTTTCACAAAATAATAGCTTGTTTTACTTTCCTGAATTGCAATAGAACAGGCCGTATATAATAGAGCACAACCAGTTGATAAAGTCCGAGTCGGAGACAAAAAAGACGCAGCAGAAGCATACCAACTTGCCCAGTGTCTGCAGTCTGTGGTGAGCAGCCATCTTTTTCACAAAACAATCTCCCCTTGTTATTCCTTACTCCTTAATTCTACTAGGTAAGGTATGCCTGCTTCTCTTTAAATGCTTAACAGTTGGCCATTATTTGGAAGAAGCTGTTTTCTCTTTTGCCTCACCTAGCTATTTACTTTTCTAACTATTCTGTTTCTGTTCTATTTCATTTTGGTGTATGAGGCAAAACAAACTATAACACCCTCAAAATTCATTTGCAAACCATGCAGGACCTTATTTTGCTAAAGTGGTCTTGGACTGCTTGGTTTTGATTTCTAAAACTACTATGTCCTTTAAAGCTATATAATTCATCTTCATTTTTTTCTCTTTTATTTTTATTTTTGTTTCTAAAAATTCCTTCCTTAGAGTCAGTTTTTAGGAATAACTTGCCTTTATTTTATAATTTTTAAAATCAGTAAGTTCATGTTTTAAGATTTATAATTGTTATTTAAAAAATAAAAACCAGTATGTTTTCTATGAGTCATAATACAGTCTTCTTAGTTTTGCATACAGGTTAAATTGATAATAGGTAACATAAATGGAAAAAGTATAGATGATAGAGTAGCTATTTTCTCAGAGTATTTAGCGTGTAACCAGTTTCTATCTAGATATGCTATCTTAACAAAGAATATTTTCAAATTGACTAGCTGGAGATAGTACAAGTCAAATACTGCCCTAGGGCGGCGGGTTCATTTTAAACGTCTCAGTATTGAGGCTTGCAAATCTTGGTATTAGTAATATAGTCAGTAAATTTTGTGGTTTTCACTATTTGTGTTGATTCAGCAATCTCCCTTCTAAAGCTGAGATGTAATTATTTTGCTATTCGTTTTTAATATGGTGCCTTTTGCTGTGTGTTCTTGGAAAGTTCTACTAGAAGTGGTTGAAAGGGAAGCCATTTTCTTGGTCTTAAACATTTTTGTCATAGTATCTTATGATGGATGGAAATTAAAATTAAGAAACATAAGTAAAATATAGAAAATCATCAGTGATTTGAAAAAAAAAATTCCTGGCTGCTACTTCTTGGCTCACGTCCTGCCTGCCCACCTACTGCCAGTGCCAGTTTTAGCTTATCATCACTGATAGATTTTTGAGCAGAATGCTAACTATTGAACAGAGATTTAATGTGTTTAGTCATTGATCATAGATCACAATATTAAATCGAGTAATTGGTTTAGATAATTATTGTTTTGGGTTTTGTGTATCAATGTGCTGTGATTTTCCAGATTAATCTTGTTACCTTTATTTTATTCTTACTACAGCGCACAAGGAGACGTAGGGTCCGAGACCCATGGGGAAACTGGTGTGATGCAAAAGACTTAGAAGGACAAACATTTGAGGTAACTTTGACCTCTTGCATAGCTCATCTATGAAAACTGTTTTGTCAGTATACAATTTGTATATTTTCATATCATATATTACATTTATTTCATATGCTTACATTTTTGTGCCTTCATTCCCATGTCATTTTGTCTAGAAGGTGCCAATAAACAACAAAGTAGAAGGCATTGGTGGTATAATTAACTAGGAGTCTGACTTATTTTCAGAACTCTGATTTTCTGTCCTACCTTTGTATCTGTAGCTCACAAATATATGCCAGGTCAACAAGTTGGTATGCCTAATTCATTTCATTAAGTGCTTATTAAATGATGTTCTGATATACCAGTTAAAATGTTGCTCTAAGAATTAGACATACTGATCTACAAATCTTGAACTGTTATTTCTACTAATAAACTGGGATCCTAAAATGAAACACAGGCAGTGCATGTGTTTGGGTGCATATATGCACAGGCACACACATGTCCTAAATATGTAATTTGTTGTCCATAACCAATAGAATGGAAAGGATGTGTGGATAGTTACCTTGAACAACTAATTAACCTCACGAATGCTCATATTTTAATTTATGAATTGTGGCTCTTACCTCTCTGAAAAGATTTTTAAAAGGTCCTAGTATTAGGTATTCAGTAAGCCTGCATGCACAAGGGACTCCATAAATACTAGTTTTCTGTGTTTCTTCCTCATTTCCTGCTTCAGTATCACACCTGAGCATTCTTCTAGACATATTAATAAGTAGTGCATGGTTCCTTCTATAATGAACTTTTTTATGTCTAGTAATAAAGACAAAAACCTGTGAGGTAAGTTCCATAGGATTGGTCCAAGAATTATAAGATACTTCCAAAAGGTGTGATCTGGGAAGGTGTAACAAAAGACAGGAGATCTCTCATTCAAAGGATCAGTAGAAGAATTGTCTTGGAAAGCAGATGAGAGACTGAGGGAGTGGCACAAGCAAAGCTACAGACATGGAGAATACAGGCTATTTTGGAAAAGGTGCATAGTTGATTTCAACTAGAGTGTAAGATTGGTAGTATTCAAGCTCAGGCCCACAAAAAAAAAAAAAAAGATTGGTAGTAAAAAGGAAATGACTGTAGCATAAACATTCACTTATTTTACTTCACAATAACAGCATGACATTGTTGTTATTACTATTATTATTACTACCATTTTTAAAGGTGGAGAAACAATCTTGAAAGCTTCAGAACTTGGCTTGTGCTCAACCAACTAATAGAGCCAGCATTCTGGCTTCAGAATCTGGTGTTCACACATCCTAGGGAAGCACTCTACCACTGCCTGTACCCCTTAGAATTTGTGTTCTTAATCATTACATTGTGTTTTATCTCAGTTGTGAAAGAAAATTCAGCACAGCAGGACTTGGTAACTAGAAATGGGGAAAAGAGACTCAGGTGATCTGAGGAGGTGTTTGAGCCTGGATGACTGATATCATTGATTAAAATGGCAAGTCAAGAGAAGGAGCAAATTTTCATTTAGATAGGGCTATGTATTTTGGTCCAGTTTTTAAAACATTCCTCTGTATTTGTTAGTAGTAAGAAGGCAACTCTCTATACCAGTTTAGTCTGCCTTATTCTTACACACCCTTGATGTATTTGGGGTTGGTGGAAGGGTTCAAGTGTAGAGCATCTGCCTAGCAAGTATGAGGCCCTGAGTTCAATCCCCAGTACTGAGGGGAAAAAAAAGTATTTTTATTAATTCTGCCTTTCGGTAGTTGGTGGACTCTGATTAACTGTTTTGTTTTAGCATCTCTCTGCTGAGGAGTTTGCAAAGAGAAGAGAAGAGGAAAAATGCAAACCTATTAAATCTTCAAAAGTGTCAAGACCAACAAAAAGGTACAGTGTTAGGTTATGTAAGTGTAATTTTTTAAACTTACCATACATGGTTAGAAATGTATGGGAAAATACCCAGTTATAGTATTCACATATAAGGTGTATCAGCTAAAATTTTCTAATTTTAGAAACTATGAGAAAACTGATAAAAATTCAGAAATTTTTTTATTTCACTGATTATCAGTTTGGGAAACCTTGAGCCAGAATTCTAAAGTTCAGGTTGAGTGAGCATGGGATCTAATATATGTTACAAAGAACTCTTGTTTATGACAGGTAATTTACCTCTAGATATTATGGAAGGTAACCTCATGAAATGATTGCTTCTCTCTTTGGGCTTATTGTTTGCAAGTAGTTGGGGTTTGTTGGGTTTTGATGGGTATATGATAAGGCAAAAATTGTAATTTGTGAAATTAAGGATCACCAAACAAGTTAAACACCTTGGTTTTCTAGACCTCTCACTTCCTGCAGGTGCCCCCCTTCAATAGAGTAATTTTGTTAGTGTCCCTTTTAAAACAAGATGTTCAAGAGATCATTTTCTTAGCAGATCTAATTCTGTGGGTAAGCCTTGGGTCCTCATTTATAAAATAATAATTAAATTAGCTAATACTATTAACTATGTTTTAAGCACTTTAATTATTTTAACTCATTTACCCCTCATAATTCTCTGCAGTAGTTAACATTATCATCCCATTTTACAGATGAGAAAACAAAGAGTCAAAGAGAGGTGTAGTAACCCATTCATGCTATTTAGGGATGGAGCTGGGATTTAAGCCCAGGCAGGAAGGCTTAAGAATCCATATTCCTGGTAATATATAATTCATTACCTTATTTATTGCCTTTCCAAAAAAGAAATTAAAATGTACCCTGTCATTATGAAAATGAAGTAGATAGACTGTGTAAAAATAGAATCACCCATAAGCCAGGACTCATTTTTTGCTTTTTTTTTTTTTTTTTTGTGGAACTGGGTTTTGAACTCAGGACTTCACAAAGCAGGTGCTCTACCATTTAGGCCACACCTCCATATTTGATTTTCTGAATTTATATGCAAGGCTTATTTTTATTGTGATTTTCAGGTCATTCCAGCATGTTAGGACCTTTTTAAACCCATTATCTACTTTTTTCATTTTAGTTTTTGTAGCATTGAATTATCAACATTTCAATAAGCTTGGTTTTTCTGTAATTAATCACCAAGTAAAATATTTAACTGAAGAAAATGTTAACCTCTGACATCATTGTTCATTCAGCTGTGAACAGTGCTACAATTAACCTGTGTTTTGTCTTATGCAGAAAGATAATCATAGCAGATGTCTTAGTTAAGTTCAGATAAAATATTTTAGTCATTATGTAGTCTGCTAGTTTCTAGAAGATCATTACTATCAAAAATGTCTTATGATAGTCTATTTATTATGACTTAATTTTCACAATCCCATTAATATTCTTAGCCATTTCTTCACTTGGTAAACCTTTAAAAGCAGCTACTGAATAATCCTTTCCAAAATTTTAGCAGTATTCAGCATCTAATTCCTGTTTCTGATGTATGCTTTCGTTATAACTTAATAGTTACCTATTGATAGTCTTCTTATCACTTTACGCTTCTCTGTAGCCTCTCAAAAGATACTGAAAGTGGTTCACATTCAAGCTTCTTAAGTGCTCTGGAATGTTCTTCGAAGCTCTGTTCTTTATTTTTCTCATCTGTCTTGGCCTTTGGTTCCTTTTTGTTCAATTAACTTAAGCGTCTTTCTAATTCATCAAATATTATTTGAATTTGTACTGTTTAAAGTTCTTGGGACACAGTATTAAGCAAAACAAGGTGTCCTCTTAGCAGTAACAGTCTCTACTCTTTCCAGTTGTGTTAACATTAGTGTGTTTCTGTAAACATAGCCTAAAAAAACTTTGTATTATTAATTTTTTTCTCAAACCTCAATTCTTCACTGATAAAAGCCTTTGTAACATTTTTTTCAGGCTTGCACATGGTTTTGAATCTAGTCTTGTTTAGATTCCTCCCTTTCCATCTCTTTAGATTTTAAAATAAGTTTATCATAGGACTTTATATATATACATTGCTGTTTGTTATTCACTTATTCAGCAAATATTTATTGAGTCTTTACTCTGTGGTAGTCAGATTATTACACTGACAGAAGTGTTTTCAAGAAACTTCCATCTTTCTTGACCTTTCTTTCAAGTCTCTTGTCAGGGAATTAGTTATGTTTCATTGAACTTGTTTTTGTGGTACTGGGGTTTGCATCAGGGCCTTCACCTTGAGCTACTCTACCACCCTATTTTCATGATGCGTTTTTTCAAGATAAGGTCTTTCGAACTGTTTGCCTGGGCTGGCTTCAAACCGCGATCCTCCTGATCTCTGCCTCCTGAGTAGCTAGGATTACAGGTGTGAGCCACCAGCACCTGGCTCATTGAACTTTTTAAAGTCTGCTTTCAGTGTAGGGCACTTCTGACTATCATGTCCCTTTAGGTGTTAATTAGTTAAGGAAATTAAGGCAACAGTTACTTTCTTCCAAAGTTTTCTGTTTGTCAAAGAAGAACAGTGCTTCTTTCCAAAGCAATGTATGGAATATCCTGCGAAATTTTCCTAGTTTAATATTTTTCTTATCCATGCAAAATTTGAGTTTAAATTACCAATACGTTTTCAAATTTGTAAACAAATGTTTTCTTCCTAATCATGTGGAGATTATATTAAAAGTAAGTTGTTCTTTTTTTTTTTTTTCTCCTTTTTCAGCTCATTCGATCCCTTCCAACTGATACCTTGTAATTTTTTCAGTGAAGAAAAGCAGGTACTCTTTATATATCAGTGAGTGACCATAAATAATGCCCCCATGGAAAGGAAGTATTTCTTCTTTTTCTGTATGTGTGAGGGACATGGGGCTGGGGACTTGGCTTAAGTGGAGGACCTGGGTTCAATCCCCAGTACTGAGGGCTGGTTAGGGGTGGGGAAGAATCAACCAAGGCAAGGACTTTTAATGGCCTGGTGAATGGTGGAGATGGAAAATGAGAAGGAATTTCTCCCTGCTTGGGTTTTGAATGATAATTTAAAAAGTAAAAGTCTAGTTTGTGCTGTGACTTCAGTAGCAAACTAGAGAACTCGGTGGGCTAGGTAAAGGAGAAAAGGGTGGACATTGCACTTGAAGAGAACAAAATCTCTATTTTTATGCTCCCCCATATTTTGTTTTGTTTTGTTTTTATTTCAGGAGCCATTTCAGGTGAAAGTGGCTTCAGAAGCACTTTTAATAATGGATTTGGTAAGGATAATCTATTGTGTTTACTTAGTCATTCTGATTTCTATTCTTATGTATTTTATTACAGGCATAAGAGAGTATGGAAGACGTGTATTTTGGATCTTAACTATCCTCTTTTACAAGGAATCTAAAAATAAGTCTTTTCTTTTGAAGAAAAGCCAGACAATTGCATGTTTCCATATTTTAGAGAAAATAAATTAATGTGAGTTTTGCAGACTGTTTACCATCATTAACCCTGTTTTCATTTTCTAATATCCCATGTCTGCTGCCTTTTAGATTACTGAAAACACAACTCCTATAATTTGGAGGTTCCTTGTTTGTACTAAACTACCAGTACCTCTAACAGTTGTGTTTGTTTGTGGTGTTTTTCTGTAGAAGGGCCCAGAGTGAGTTTTACTTTGTATCCTTATAATGCTTGTCTTGAACAGGCAAATAGTATCTTTACTACGTAAGTGAAAAAGTATGTCATGGAGTGTTAAGTGTTTGGTTCAAAGCATCTCAGCCAACAGTGAAGGTAGACCTGAAATCTTAAGTTCCCATGGCTGGGCCTAGTATCTTGTTCCCCTGCTATACTATTTTATTTTAGAAAAGCATGGTTACCATACTTAGAGTGACTGTACTATGATAGTGAGTTTTATTCTGATTTTTTTGTCAGATGGGTTTGTGCATGTGGTTTAATTCTGTCTTTATTTCTTTTAGCATGCTCATGTTTCTATGGCAGAAGTAATTGGTCTCTTAGGAGGAAGGTACTCAGAAGATGATAAGATAGTTGAAGTAAGTTCTCTCTTTTTAAAAAACGTTTTAAGCACTATTTTATTCTAGCTGCCATACCAGTTATTTTACAGAACTCAGTGTAATTAAAATACAGACTCCATCTATGATATATGGGAGAGTATGCAAATGCAAAGTGTTATATACTCTCAGAAGTGACTTAACATTCCATATACTGAGCACCTGTTTCCTTTTCCTGCCAAAAAGGAGAGAATACCACCAGGCCTTTTCTCTTTACTACCAGTAAAAAGCTACAACTAAGAGACCACAAATAAGTACTAATACTTGTAGTTGAAACTTGTGTGCATCATTCTGTTTAAATTAGCGTCATAATAAGTCATTGAAAGAATACCTTTGTACAGGTATTAATGTGGTGTAACCTGGAAAACTAACCACTATCATGACCTTGTTAGTGTAGAAAAATGCATGCTGAGTCAATAGCATACAATCAACTTTTGGGATGTAATTCGCTTGTAAGCAATAGAACTGACAGGATTTCAGTGTAATCATGTAAGGATCGATTTTTTTTATAGGTCTGTGCAGCTGAACCATGTAACAGTCTGAGTACAGGACTACAGTGTGAAATGGACCCTGTATCACAAACCCAGGCTTCAGAAACCTTGGCTGTTAGAGGCTACAGCGTTATTGGATGGTATCATTCTCATCCTGCATTTGACCCTAATCCTTCCTTACGAGATATTGACACTCAAGCCAAATACCAGGTGTGTTTATAGGTATTATGTGTATATATCTGTAAATTATTACTCATCCTCCCTCCTATTGCTTTCTATTAAATAAATATACTTGTAATGTTTTTAGCTTTGCAATTCTAATATTCTTTACATCTAGTGTGTGAAATAACTTGCATTTTTTTCTGATTTGCAAGCTACATTTGGAAAGTCAGCAGTTTTATTAGTACAGAAAAGTGGTGAACAAAGCATTGACAATACATGCAATAGGAATAACTAGGACAGAAATTAAGTATAATTGAAATAATCTTAAACATTAATACATTTTGTATCTGAACAAATTTTGTTTTTTGCAATTTTACGTTTCATGTATGAGTGTTTTTGCTGTAACTATTTGTAAATTACTCCCATTTAAAGTTGGTCAGTATAATTAATAAATATATTCATGGCAAATACAAAATTTTTTTAAGGTTCATTTCAGGTTGGGTTGGACCCATTTTGGCCTGAAATTTTTACAGTGAATATATAAGGCATTTCATTTTGTTACTGTTTGGATATGAAATTCTTAATGTACCTTTTGGTTTGCTTTTCCCCCATTGGATGTTTAGAATGTTGGTGTGAGTAAATACTGACTTTTAAATTTATATAGTAAAACTAATTATACTTTTCTTATTATAGAGTTACTTTTCCAGAGGAGGTGCAAAGTTCATTGGGATGATTGTTAGTCCCTATAATCTAAACAATCCTTTACCATACTCCCAGATTACCTGCCTGGTTATAAGTGAGGAAATTAGCCCAGATGGCTCCTATCGTAAGTTTTCAACATTAACAACTTCTTACCATTCCTACCCTCATTTCTTTGAATCTTATAAAACAAAGAATTTATAACTATGCAAAACTACTTAATGAAAAACTATAAGGAATCACTGTTAGGGTGCTACCTAGTGCAAGCATCCTCTTTCCTTTCATCATAGCCTCTGTTGTCACCATGGTCACTGGGCAAAAGAATGAAAGTGTAGAGAAAAGTTAGGTACAAGCAGTGTGTATGGTACACACTGGAGATGCTTCAGTAAAAACAAAGGTCTTCTTCTAATGAAAATATTTTTGTAAATGCAGATTAGCTTTCTCTACAATGTCATACAAATGGGAAGAGAAAAATCACCTTCCAATAATAGCAGCCTTACCAAGGACTATTTTTATATATGTCTTAATTCCCATGCAAACTGAAGAAAGAATTTTAGTTTCATTGGTATAGACCATCATCCAACTTGATTCCTTTGGGGTTTATGTCCACTTGTGGTCCTTCCAACTCTGGCTAGATAAATAATTAGTATAGCCTACTAGGAGAAAGAATGGAGCATGAATGGGAAGAAAACAATTGGTACCTCTAGTATATTTACTTCTTACCACCACTGCTCGAGTTCGGGTTTCCTCTGGATACCCTCACTGTAGTGCCACACTTCTTTGCCTATTAAATTATAAGATCTTTGCCAGTACATACTGCATTGCCCTCGTCCTTCTATCCAGTTTCTAACACAGGGCCTGGAATAAAATGGATAATAAATGAATGTGTTTAACTTCCCCTCATTCTTAATCATTTACTTGGATGCGTTGTACTTGGTAAAGACTTGCCAGCACTATCACCATGTCATTTACTATTAGTTGCTCTATTTTTTATACTTTTGTAGCACATTTCCAGTCTTCATGGTCACATTTGTCTTTTAATGTAATTTATCTGTTTAGCAAATCTTGTTAAACTTGAGTGACCAAACAAGGACTGTCTTAATTATCTTCATAGCTCTAGTGTCTGGGAGGCGGTCAGTACGATGGGTTTTTATTGAGCGAATAATACCGGTATTGGCTTTAGTCCAGAATGTCCATCTGAGCACAGCATGTGATATACATCATTGTTTAGCTTATTATAATTATACAAAAAGTTACAGAAGAAAGACAACTTGTTCTCAATTTAAATCATTTCTTATCTTACAGTTGTTTGATTTTGGCTGTAGGCCTCTATTCTGATATTGTCTAATACAGTTGATATTAGGTACATGTGACTTTAAGTTCACTAGAATTAAGTAAAATTAAAATTCAGTTGATGTGTATCTACTTCTGTCCAAAATGAAGAAACAAGGGTGTTTCTGAAGCAACCAAACTAGACAAAATATATAAAACAATGGTATTTAGGACACACCTTCAGGCAGTGAAGAAAGGTTGCTAAGAGATGGGAGACAAATCAGTCAAGCCCCAAGTTATACTAGTGTACTGACTTGAGTTTTGAAGTAGCTGAATAGGGCACTATATGCCTATAATCCTAGCTGCTCAGGAAGTGGAGGCAGGAGCGTCATGAGTTTGAGGCCAACCCTGACAAAATTAGAGAAATCCAGCCTCAAAAACAAAACAGACCAAAGGCTGTGGTGTTCTGGGGGCTGGGAGGAGGTTTTATTTCCATATATGGTAAAAGGAAGAGAAACCCAAGCAGAGCCTAGCACACTCTTGAGTTGAGTAACAAGGTGAGGAGCCCAAGACAGCTAGTTCCCAAAGAACAAACAGCAAGCCAAATATCTCCAGATAAGTTCAGTTGGACAGACTTGTCTGTTATTAGAACTGCATATTAGATCTTAATCATACTTAGGTCCTTTGCTTTGCTTCTCCAAAACCTGCTGTAAGAGTTAAGGTTTTCCAAAAGCCAAGGAGTAAGTAGCTTGTGCTACAATACCTTTAACTCAGCTTCTGTCTTTAAAATGTCTCCAGTGGTTAAGTATTTTCTGTTCTTATCAGTCAAGAAATATACTTAGTAATTACTTTTATCGTAATATTTTAGTGGATAAAAGTATTCTGTACAAAGGGAAATTTTTCCTTAGCTCCTTTTTTTTAACTTAGAAAATTTTCGTAATAATACCAAATAAAACTATATATAGGTTGTGTGTATGTAGGTTTTATCTATTAGACCTGACTAAAAATGCGTTGTTCACCTCTCTTTGTTCCCATTTTCAGCCTTCATTAAGAATAGAAGTCACTCAGCTATATTCAAATCCCAGCTCTGATATTTACTAGTTATTTTACATTGGATAGGTTACTTAACCTCTCCTGGTCTCTCCTTTGCTACTTTTGTAAAATATGAAAAAATCATTACCTGACTTATAGGGTAGGGAGTTTAAGTGTTGTCGGTAATGAATGTGAATTGTTTAGGAAATAATAGGTTTTCAGTAGGTAGTTATGATTGTAGCTGGTACCTGTGCTTAGTGGATAATGAAAATGAATAAAAACAATGGACTTGTTGTCCTTTCTTCCTCCTAAACACTGAAAAGGGGAGTGGAGGGGAGCGGGCTTTTTTATAGCATATTGATAATTAAGCTGTGCTTTGTTTCATTGTAAGGAATTATATTCATGGGTTTTTTTCTTTTCCCCTTGTTTTTTCATGTCTTCTGATTTCCTGGCTTACTTGAAAAGCCTTATGGCAAAAACCCATTTGAGAGGTAGTGTAATATAAAAGTTAAGAACATAAGTTCTTGAGCCAGACTGCCTGGGGATTCATATCATGTTTCTTATGTACAACCATGAACAAGTTTATAACCTTTCCATGGCTCAGGGTCTTCATCAAAAAACCCCCAAAAAACAACAACAACAAAAAAACAGAGACCATAATGATAGCTACTTCATTTAAATAACTTCACATATGTGAAGCACCTAAAACCTGGCTCGTAGTAAGCATTTGTGTAAGTTTTGCTATTGTGATGGTATCAGCCTTTGGTAATGAATCAGTCAAGCTTTTTCTTTAATACACTGCAGACACATTTACATGGATCTGAAGGATATGCTAGTCCTATTTTCTGTCTAGTCTTATATTGGCACCTGTAGGGAAGTGAGAAGAATATGGGCTCAGAGTCAGGCAAACTTCTTAGGGTTTAAACTCCAAGCTCTGCCACTTTGCTAGCTTGAACACCTTATTTAACCCATCTCAGCTTCAGATTTATCATCTGTAAAATAGGAATAATGCTACCTACTGAGTTACAGTATTGTGGTAAACTTAGTAACCTATGCTTACCACTAGGGTGGCAGTATGTTTTGGTTTGCCTAGGACAGTCCTGAGTTAAGCCTATGATTCTGGCCTAATTATTAATAGTCCTTCTTTCATTCAAAAAATCTCTTGGTTTGAGTGGTAAATTAACATGATCATCCTACTTCTCACAATGCTTTGCATAGAATTGTCAGGAAAGTAACACTCTTACTTTTCTTCATTATTATTAATAGGTTGGCATTAATATGCTTAGTGGACCAAGTACAGTCAGGCAATAAATATTAAATGATAGCCCAGTGTGTTTAAAGTGCTGTTCAGCTGGTCTGCCAAACTGTGGTTGTAAAAACACTGAAGAGAATTTTAAGTAATTAAAAGGAGATTGGAGATTTAAGAAATAGTTGATGAAAATGTGCTTCTTTATGCTTTTCTAGGTTTACCTTACAAATTTGAAATACAACAGATGTTAGAAGAACCTCGGTGGGGATTAGTATTTGAAAAGACAAGATGGATAATAGAAAAATACAGACTCTCCCATAGGTATGTGCTTGAGATGGTTGCACATCTGCAGTGTTGCTCATTAAATTATGTTTCAGACAAAACCCAAGTTAAATATAAAATTCTGATGTATGGCATCAGTGATAGTTTATTACACAATTGATTACTTTATAGTATTTGTTTCATCAGTGTGTTTTCATATTTCTTCCTACAGCAGTGTCCCCATGGATAAACTCTTTCGCCGGGATTCTGACCTAACTTGTTTGCAGAAAGTAAGCTGCTTTCATTTTAATTGGTTCCATTGTTCATAGAAACCAAAGCTATTCATCTCAATATGTTTTCCCATGATGCCCAGTGCTTTGTGGATACATTTTCTGTATAGTTCTTTATTGCCTTTTCCTTTCTAAAATTAATTTCTAGAAGATAATTAGTAATGTGTTTTGTTGCCCAAGCTTGCACATAGAAATAATACTATTTTAGAATTAATTTGTCAGTTTTGACTGATAAATTTCTTAGCAGATTTTTATTGTACACAGTGGAGATTTTTCCCATTTTATTAAATTCAAAAGCACCATATTTCCTTTTTTAGCCTTATCAGTTAATCATACTTAAGAATGATAGTGTAAATCTAGCAAAGTTAAATGGTCATTTTACTTAACTATTTAGTAGGAAGTGAGGGCTTTGAATTCTTTTGTTTCACTTCTAATTTCCTTCTGTAATGAGTTAAGACCAGTAGACTGGCAGCAATTGTCTATTTTAATTTGTTGTAGCAACTGGGAAAAAAAACTTTAAACATATTTAAGTTTCCTTTTCAATATTATTTTTTACCCCTTTCTGTAATACCTACTTTTTTCATGTGCTCTGTTGAAAGACTAATATGCACATTTCCTGGTTAGACCCTGGCTTCCTAATAAAGTAGTAGAGTATCTTATGTTTGTTTATACATAGCTGGTTTTTTCTTTTCTTTTTTTTTTTGTGGGGGGGGAGAAGGAGGGGGTGGTTTGCATTGTATGGAACCAAGGGCTATGCATATGGTAACCACATAATCTACTTCAGCAACATAGCTTTTTTTTTTTGCTTTTAAATATAACCTCATGATTTTATTGTTTTCTTAGCAAAACAAAAGATGAAGCTTAAAACTTCACGTGATCTCCTCTCAGTTCAAAATGCTTACACCTCTTAATGGCCAGCATTCCCTTAGCTCTGCAGTTGAGCTCAGCATGCCCAAGCCCCAGCACAATCTCCTCTGTAGGCTTAGCTTTTTTCTGGAAAATCAGCTTGGTCTGCCTACTGCAGCCCCTGTGCTTTCTGTCCTAATGCTGCTTTCTCTGAGCATACAGAGAATCTTTGCCCTTCTTGCCCTGGGTTACTTTGTGGGGTTGGTGTTTGCCCTACTTCTTAGGGACAATCAAGTGTGTTTTTAACAATGTTCACCATTTTTTCGGAAGTGCTATTAGCAGGGAAAGCCTCATAACTTTTGTATTAATTTTCCAGGATTATTTTGCTCTGTGTGACTGCTTAAAAAAAGAAAAAAAAGGAGCAGTCACAAATTTGTCCCTTTATGTGACATTGTAAGGGAAGCAAGCTCTGTATTCTTTTTTTTTTTTTCTTTTATTCATATGTGCCTACAATGTTTGGATCATTTCTCCCCCCTTCCCCCCGCCCCCTCCTTTTCCCCCACCCTCTCCCTCTTCCCCCAACCCCCTTGCTACCAGGCAGAAACTATTTTGCCCTTATTTCTAATTTTGTTGAAGAGAGAGTATAAGCAATAATAGGAAGGACAAAGGGTTTTTGCTAGTTGAGATAAGGATAGCTATACAGGGAGTTGACTTGCATTGCTTTCCTGTACATGTGTGTTACCTTCTAAATTAATTCTTCTCGAACTAACCTTTTCTCTAGTTCCTGGTCCCCTTCTCCTATTGCCTCAGTCACTTTAAAGTATCTGCATTAGTTTCTCTGCATTGAGGGCAACAAATGCTATCTAGTTTTTTGGGTATCTTACCTATCCTCATACCTTCCTTGTGTGTTCTCGCTTTATCATGTGATCAAAGTTCAATCCCCTTGTTGTGTTTGCCCTTGATCTAATGTCCGCATATGAGGGAGAACATACAATTTTTGGTTTTTTGGGCCAGGCTAACTTCACTCAGAATGATGTTCTCCAGTTCCATCCATTTATAGCTATGTATTCTTTAGCAGTAGTTTCCTGTGTTCCAGTATGTTTTTTTTTTTTTTAACAGCACTGGGGTTTGAACTCAGAGCCTTATGCTTGCTAGGAAGGTGCTCTACCTTTGAGCCCTCTGCCTAGCCTCAGCATGTGATTATTGAACACAAGTTAATTTTCAATCATATTTAAGGCGAATGTTTCCTATTTGATCCTTAAGAAATGTTAGGTTTGGAAAGAGATAAAATAGTGACACTTATGCAAACTCTCATGTTTTTTATGTACTGAAATATAAAATTTTTCTTTTTACCCAGCTTTTGGAATGTTTGAGAAAAACTCTGAGCAACGTAACCAATTGCTTCATTGCTGAAGAGTTCTTGACTCAAATAGAAAATTTGTTCCTTTCCAATTATGAAAGCAAACAAGGGAAAGAAGTGGCTGAAGAGAACTGTACAAAGGAATTACTAATGTAATTACTTTAAAGTAAGACATTTTAATCTCGACATGATAGATCCTACTTATCAAAGTTACAATGTTGAAATGATTGTAATTTAATAGTGGCCCATGTGGTGCTTTTCCTCTAATTCACAGAAATCCAAACTTTGCCACCTAAGTCATGTGGAAAGGAGCAGATACAGGCTTGTTCATGTAATGGCTGTCAGAATGTTATGTAAACCCAGGTCCACTGCAGTTCCTGTCCTTTATTAAGCAACACAGGTGCTTTTCACAGAAGAAAACTTACACAGGTGGTCAGCTTTACTGTTGTATTCAGATTGATAACTGAAATATCTAATTTTTACTTCTTCCCTGGACTAGGCATTTAGTATTTTCCATTTTGGCATCTCAGCTCATTAGAAGATCTTCCATTTTTTTCTACTTGTTCTGTGAGATTTGTGTGTTTTTATTTGGGGTTCCAAATGAGAGGTATGGATAGATAGTCACTGAGATAATTAACATGGTTGAGAATTACTGATTGATAAATCTTAACATGTTGTAGGGGTCTAGGAGAGACCTGAGGAGAGAATCTTAGAGGAGAGAACCAAAGGAAAGAATTAAATTACCAGTTTTAATCATAAATACTATTTTTATTTTATAGCAATAGTACTATAAGTTATGCCATTTTCTTAGCTACCTAAAACATTTTTTATGGATTTCACACACATAAAATTAGCTCTAACTCTGTATCCTCTGACAGTTGTGAAACCTCATTTAACTGTACCTGGTAACCATAATCCTCAAACTACCTGCTGCTGGTTTTTTGTTTTTGTTTTGTTTGTTTTTTGCTTATTTCGTTGTAAGAATAAGGCAGTAGTAGAAAAAGCAGCTTTGCAATTTTAGATGACTTGGGTCTTGTCTCGACCTTGTGATTTCGTGAGATACAGTTTACTTTTTCTGGGCCTAAATTCTTTTGTATAGCTCTAAATTACCTTCCTAGTATCCTTTCAGGTCTAAAATTTTATCATTTATTCAGTTTGCTAGGCTATTTGAGATTATACAGTCCCCAAATTAACATTTTAAAAGAAAGCTAGTAGTTTTTCCATCTCTCTGAATTTAGGATAAACAATGAAACAGTTTATAAAATTACCTTGAGGGCTGGGAGTATAACAACCGTAGACCAAAATTAAGGAAACCTGAGCTCTTATCCTAATTATGTTGCCATCCTTGCTATGTGACCTTGATCAGATCATAACCTTTTTAAACTCCAGGTTCCTCAATTTTAACTCAATGGTTACTGTTTTTTTGACTTGGTTTTTCTTTCAAGTACAGAAGGTCTGTGGTTCTATAAAAGACAGTAATAATTATTCCTTTGTACTCTCCCTGCTTTGGAACTGTTTCCTCATGTGTATTGGAGAATGGACAGTGAAAACTGGTATTTATTAGCTTTCTCGATTGATATTTCCCTGTAATATTGATGAATTTGGGTGATGGAAATAGTTAAAAGTTCTTTCTCAAAATCTAGGCCTTTTGCAAACTAGTGGCTAACTGTATTTACTAATCTAAGCCATATTGTCAGGAACTCAGAGATGATAGTTATCAGAGTTTAAGCCCTTTAGAGTATGATTTTTAAAACATTTACTGTTTTTTTTTCTTACTGTAGAATACATTTATCTTATAAAATATTTTAAAATACAGAGAATATACACAAAATACAGATATCTCAATCCAACTATCCAGTTAACACCTTAGTTAAATTCTTCCCCATTTTCTGGACTGCATAATTTTAGAATTTACTTTTTTCCCCCCTCCTCCCCTACTTATTCTCCCTGATCCCTTCTTTCTCTTGTCATATACTTAAAACATTTTTGCAGGTGCCCCCAACCTTGTGCTCCTGAGGGTAGTTGGAATCCTAGGGCTTTGGAGAATTATAGAGGAAGACTAGAGCTAAGAAGATGCTTAATGCAGGAAGTGCAGGAGGCAGGCTCCCAAAGAAAAGCCTGCCTCCAATAATATTTGCAGAAGTGCAGAAAGGCTTGAGAATCTCTACTCTAATTCTGTGATTTTTATTATTGCACTCAACCATAAAATAATGAGCTTAATTTTGTTTCTTATTCTGGCTTGGCTAATGAAAATTGATACTAATGCTTCTCCAATATAGACTTAGCTTTCTTTAAAAATCATACTCCAAAATAACAGTCAAGAAAAGAAAAATCAGTTCAATAAGACCACCAGAATGAAACACTCTTTTCTCTTTCCACCCTCTATTATTTTAGCCTGAATCATTCTTCTCTAAGCCTTTTAACTGATCTATAACTTCCATTTCTACAGTTGGTTTGGCCCTGTGATTCAGAGTTGTATGAATTTTCATGAAACCCAAGTACTTTTGCTTTCTTAGATTCTTTCTATATAAACTTTGAAATTATATTTTATAATTATTGGTATAAAATGAAGTTAATTTTAGATTGAAACATTTTCTTTAACAGTTTCATTTTAAAAAAAAGAGTTTCATTTTTTCTTGTGAAGTTAATTAAAACATTTTAAGTGGGTCTTTCATAATATTATGAGCCTGAGGCACTGTACTTCATGGATAGATTGGCCCTGCCTGTTTTCTGAAGGGTGTCATTGAAAAAACAGCAGTCTCTTCCCTGCCCACAATATCACCATCTCTAGGATAGTCATTGCCATCTTGTCCAAGAGTACTGCAATTGATAGATACTGTTACAGGTCTACATACTAGGACTTTAATCCTTCCCATTCTGATGAGAACTCATGAATATTGCTTGGGGCCACTCATCCTCAGAAAGAAAGATGGGGGCAGTGGTTAATTTTAGCAGTTAAGTAGACATTTTTTTCCTGGTCCTTGACCTGGTTTTATAATTTATGCCATGACTCACAGAGTGAACATCCTGCTTTCTTTCTTTATTCCCCAATTCTTTTCCTTCACCCTCATTCCCTCTTCTTACCTCAAAAGACAGGTGCAAGATCTTTCTATTATTTGTTTAAAGCTAGGCCTATAAAATAAATACAACTGTTCATGTTTCCCTGTGACTGCTTAGTGTTGCTTAGCTTTCTCTTCAGAATCTTCCTCCTTCCCCATCCTCAGGTAGAGTGAGGTCTGTGATATGCAGAGTGTAAGCACAGTTGGGGCCTCTGAAGTAGAGAGGAGACAGGGCTTCAGTTTGCTAACCCAAGCAAGCCTCCTGCTCTTTACTTTCTTCCCATGTTTGTTGCTGAGTCCCAACAAGGTGAGCTGTAGGAGCTGAGAGGCAGTCAGGATCTGCCACCTTACCTAATTTGGATCCACCCATCTGCAAGTCACCAACAGGCATCCAGTTGATGGGTTTTTCAGTGGGAATTGAGTTGGGGCACTCCCCCAATTTTTTTTATCTGCACACTCCTCTATCAATAATAGCCAGAGACCAAATCTAGCATCACGCATTATGGCATCAAGGAAAACTTTCACAAAAGCACAAAGAAGAGCACATGCATTTTGATAACAGTGCTCCATCAAGCTAATAAAAAAATTATAAGAAATTTGACCTGATTCTCCAGTTTACCAGTACCTTAGTAGTGTTCTTATAAATTAATGTATTTTACAATCACTGTGGGAGAATAATGCAGTATACTTTAGTTCATTATTTCCTGGCCTTTTCTTAAAAGGTTTTGTATGTGCTGTTCCCCCAAACTGTTTTCAGTGTTGTTTTTGTTTTTATTTAACTTTGTAATTGTGTTTTATGTCAATAGCTCTATATGGAGCTGAACTTGAGAAGGTAAAATTAATTCATAATATCTGGGTTGTTTTCATTTCTTCCTTTGGTGCTTATGAATATATTCATAAGAACTCTAATTTCCGGGGGAAATGTCTGATTTGTTGTCTTCAAGGTTTCCTAGTCTGTAGGGAATTATGAAGTCTGTTAAATATGTTTTCACAGTTCGTATTCCTATTTCATAGGTTACCACTAAATATTTATTTCAACCTATGAATTATAAATAATATTTAGATTTTAGCATGATTGAAATAGATCATTTATCTCTTAAATTTTATGGATTTGACATGTACAGTATGTGTTGTATATAAATTTATATTTGCATGACTTGTTGATAAACCTGTTGTATATTTTTCCCAAATGTTATCAGTGTTGATGGATTTTTTTCATTAGCTTGAATTTTGTAATGTTCTATAATACAATATAATGATTTAAACTATTCTGTACATTTATCTAGGCCATGTTGGATATACCTGTATTAAAGAATATTGTAAATATCACTGTTTGTAGAATTATGAAAGATTTTTCTTCAGAATGATTAACCTCTTTTTTGCATACTTATTTGTAACATACTATGAAATATTTGACCTTAAGCTTTGGGACTTTATCTTATAAGAATTAAGAGGCAACATGCTGAAAATTACATGTAAATAAAATTTTGAAAATAAAATGATGGATAATCAGTTTTGTCTCTTTCTAAATTATTAGCAGTATGCATATTGAATCACAAAAAGAAAACTCATGTTGATTCAGCAAGCATTTGTTGAGCATCTGTATGTTGAGCACTGTAGAGTCCACAAAGATAAGTGTTGGTTTCTTTCCATAAGAAGCCTATTATCTAATAAGTGTAAAAACATAAAAATAATACAAATAGCTAAGATACAAGCCAGAGTTGCTGTAAATGCCTGTGAGAGACATTGAAAGTAAATAAAGAATGAATAGAATAGAGGAAATTCTCTGTAATGTAAGATTAATTTTTTTTAGAAGAGGTACCTGGTACGGTTTGGTTAAATGGCATTTGGGATAAGATGTTACAGAGTGAAAGTGATCTTAGCATAGGTGTGAAGGTAAGGAAAGAGAAATAGAGACTGCTGAGAATGTTTCATCAGAGAATAGGTATATGAAGATGTGGTTTGGGTTTGATTTTTGGTTTTTGGTTTTTTGACTGTACTGGGGTTTGAACCCAGGTGTTGTGCTTGCTAGGCAGGCACTCTAAGCTTGAGGCATCCTCCAACCCTTTTTGTCCTGGTTATTTTGGAAATGTGGGTTTTACTTTGCCCTGGCCAGACTGGACCAAAATCCTCCTAGTATACCCTTTCCACCATTGCTGGGCATGCCAGCATGCCCAGCTTTTTTTTTTTTCCCACTGAGATTAGGGGTCTTGCTAACTTTTGCCTGAGCTGGCCTGAAACTGTGATCCTCCTGATCTCAGCTTCCCAAGTAGCTAGGATTAAAGTGTAAGCTACGGGCACTCATCTGAAGATGTTAATTATGAAAGCCACACACATCTAATCAACTAAGTTACAGAAAATGTAAAGTAAGTGAAACTCTTACCTTAAAATCAGTATTAACTCATTAGCTGATCTTTAACTTTCTAGTCTTTTTTTTTTTTTTTTAGCACATGAGAAACCTATACATTTTAAAAATAAGATCATTGATCTTTGACTTCTGTATTTCTCTCATTAAGAACATCTTTCTGGATTTGGGGTGTAGCTTAGTGGTAGAGTGTTTGCCTAGACTGTGCAAGGCCCTGATTTTGATATCCAGTATCAGGGGGAAAGAGACATTCTTCCCTATCAGCACATGAAGATAGATAACATTTGTTCTTTGCTGTAGGTGCATAGCATTCTGAAATACAGACTTATCATCATGGGTTTGGTTAGTTTACAGTAGAGCTTTAAGTTGTTCTCATCTTTATATTTAAATGTGATGTTGTTTTATACTTTCAAAATAGATTTCTAGAAGCTTAGTTGCTAGGTCAAGAGCTTTATACCCTTTAAGTGTTCCTAGTATCTCTGAAGTAATTTTTAATTCCTATAAGCTAATTTTCTTCATAGTACTACAGGCATATTCATCCTATTTATGAAACCAATTTGAACTCATGTTCCTAAGTAAAAATCATAATTTAAGTAGCAAAATTCAATGGAATCCTGAGGGTTTTAATTGTTTTAGGCATTTATTCATTGGAAGTTAGTCCCTTTGTAGAGTTATGGGTTCTTACTAATTAAGCATTTGCTTAAAAAAAGCCTATGGCTTTGAAAGTCTGCACTGTTTCACAATCCTATTTGTACTGTAATGGTTTTTCTTACTCTTGCTGATGTTTTTCTACATCACTGATTCTCAATTATCTTCCCATAGAATGCTTGTTGAAAATGTATATATATTGTCAGTAGCTTCCATTTTCAGAAATATGTAACCAAATAGAATGCTTGTTTGTCTTCCATATTTTATTGCTGTCAGAAGCAAGACATCAACTTACCTATTGTCTGTTACTATGTTTAACCAATGCAGAATTGGAAAGTTTCAGAAAGCAACTGCTTAGTTCATTTTATCTGGATCAGTGATTGTTGAACTTCTATTCCAACACACCTGGTATAACTGGCAGTAATTGTGCCTTTATACCCAGAGGTAATGAACTAGAAGATTACACACATCAGACTCCCTTTGTGTGACAAAACAAAAATCTTTGACAAGACCTTTTCAGAACAGAACAGTCTTCCTAATCATAAAACATAATGACTGGACTAATCTTTTCCCCTACTTTTGTTTCATTTTCTCTCAATTCTCTTCCTCCACAGAGTTTAACGCTGTCAGTTGAAAGATCATTTGCTTTTATGCAACACCTCAGAGTGGATCCCAGCATCATGACATGTGTTGGGATAATTAACACTAGGTGCTATAACAAACCACCCCTAATTTTCAGTGCCTTTGCTCTCACTAAATCCAATACAGGTGCTCTTGATTGGGTGGCTCTCCTGGACCTATCTCT